TTGAATTATGCACCATTTTCCAGGAACACGTGTACAGCATAATGCGAGGGAAACCTGTAGTTAAAATCTTTTGAAATGCAAACCCAGTTTTCCTCAGAACAATCTCTTTGTTAGCCAAGGATCAGTCTGACCTGGCAAAAATAATGTAGGACTTGAATTCCACTTCATTTTAAAAATGGAGTCGTACTTTAGCAAAATTCACTATAAGCAGGTTTTACCCTATCAGCCATAAATGTCTGCCCATTTCTCCATCAACCAGAAGCCTCTGTATCCAACATCACACCTATTCCAGTTCCAGCTCTGATAGAAGTTTCCCCACCCCACCATCCTGTTGATACCACAAACCTCCCTTAGCGCAGAAAACCTATACATGGCCAATAAATTGATTTTTGTTGTGCAGTGGTGTGGGGCTTGTCAATATTTGCCTTAAATATTGTTTTAGGGCATAGAGCAAACCTTTAAACTTTGAAAACCTATGTAATACTGACCAGAGCATCACATTAGGACAAGAATCTGTAAGCCTAAAGTGATATTTTGTAATACAACCAGGCTTTCCAAAGTTTGCAGGACTGTGTTATCTACACAGAAATGTATTTACATATACGAATGCCTGAAGTCAGATATCTAAATACTATTTTTAAGGCATTAGCTGATTTAGGCATCAGATATTATTCATTCAAGTTTGAAAAATAAGGCCCTGAATGATAATCTTACAGAATATTTACTGTGTAATGGGTTTGTGAAGTCTGAAAAATGAGTTTCTTTAAACAGGCCATTCAGGCTCAAATTTCAAATATAAAAATTAAGTTTTATATTGGTGTAGAGGTTTTCTTGACTTCTCTAAACTGCCAAACAGTAAGCACAAAAATGTAAACACTCCCTTCCAGTATCTAGAATCCAAAGGTTTCAGCAGCTCATTAGAGCAGAAACAAGAAATAAAGCTGACTATTATATTTCACTGCCCAAGCTAAAGCATAATACAAGGGTTTTTTTTAAAAGCACAAATGATGACAAGTACTATTTTTAAGAGGAGTTCTTAATAACAGTTCCATGACTCAAAAACTTTACATGATAACCTACTTAACAAAGTACCCAATATGAAATATGATTTGGGGTCAAAAAGAATGGTAAAAGCTACCCGTGAGGTATGATGATGAGTGGTCATTATGCTGGAGAGGAAGCCATTGTCCAGGTGTTTGTTAGGAAAGATGTATAGCCTAACAAAGTTTTATTAGTTTACAGGCTATAATGTTGAGCTATAAGGGTGCCTATACACATCAGAGCAGACTCTATTGATAAAGTCTGCTGGAGTGTTCCAATTGGAATGCTCTGGAGTGCTACGGCATCTTGTATATTGTGCCCCACGTTTCACAATGGCCAAGGGAGCACTTTAACTAAAGCTTGTTGGGCGAGCTCTAGTTAAAGTGCCCCTGTGGCCATTGTGAAACACAGGAACACTAAATACAAAAGATGCTGCAGCATTTTAATTAAAGAGGCTCCCGAGAGCTGCTCTAATTAAAACACCGCTCCCCCACCCTGGAGCACATGTACAGGCAACCTAAGAGATTTAATTTAACAGTGCTACCATGGCCCCTTCACTATGGAAGTCATAGTTTTTAGAATGTGATAACAAATACATCCTGAAGACGACAACCACCTCTCTGGTGCACTCATACTTGAGAAACTATAGTGCAGCAGGGTTTACATACATTAGCTGAATGGCTGTTCACTCAGTGTGTAGGAGGGCTGCGGTCTGTCAAACAACATTAAGCAAAGTCATATAGACCATAACTAGGGGCACAGTTGGGGAAGGATTCACTAGAAATAACAGCATTGCCTCAGCTGCTCTGTTAAAAATACACCTGGCAGAACTTGATCATATGAAAGGTTCAGGTATCCTCTGAACTTCTCAAGGAACATTCTGGTGATGTTGGCAAGGTGCTAAAAACTGAGATTTAAACTTAGCACCAGTTTCTCAGCTGGTGAAAATCACTACAGCCCCCTAGAAGGGAATGTTGTGGAACACTTATGAAGACAGCATGACCTGATGACCAGCCCTGCCCCTAGATTGGATACCTGATCATCATTACTTGGTGTCTTAACTGCTAACTATTGCATCTTAAAGGTGATACTCCATTATCTTAAACTTCCATTAAATAATGCTGCTTCAATTAAGTATGCTTTAACTTGGGCTTGGATTGTGAGGTTCACCTAATTCCATCCCCTAGGCTTTTTTTTTTTCTTTCCTGTTAAATTATCTTACTTCAGAAATACTTTTTGACCACTCTCTCTATTAGCAGAACAAAGCTGAGGGGATTTTCCCACTGCTAGCCACATGATTTAAAGAAACTGCAACTAAATGATCCTATGACCCCAGCTGACTTCCTGCCCTTCGGGCGGGCGGGGGCTGGACTTGATGATCTCCGGAGGTCCCTTCCAGCCCTAGTGTCTATGAAATCTATGAAAGAGACCAAAGTCTTTCTACAACTGAACTGAGAAAAGGACAGTTTATAGATTCAGAATGAAACAAATAAGCTTTTTAAAGGTCTGCCATAGCTTATCTACTGAAAGTTTCCTTTATTTTCACAAGGACTAGAACCGTGGTTACAGTAAGTTAAACCTCTGCAGAAAGCTAAGGCCTCTAGCCCCTCTTACGCCAAAGAAAGCTTTCTGCTGGCTAACAGTGAAAAAAACAAGCTGAGTTTTCCAGCTGAGAACATTTGCTTTTTAATAATCTGATTTTGTATCAACATGTTTCTTTTAAATAAGAGCTTCATTGTTATCATCTCCTTGCCACTGCTTCTCCTATTCTGGGCCCATATAGAGCCCTCCCTTCTCCAGTGAGTCTAAGTTAGTGCTAGTTTGACTTATGCAGGCCTTTCCCAAGGCTCCTTTGAGTCCTGAGAAGCTGGGAATAAGACTAATATGCTGTGTTCCAGCTTCATCCCTATGCCAGGGCCTGAGAGCAGAGACAGCATACAGCCTTTATTTATACCAGCTGTACACAAGCAAGCAAGCCTCTCTACAGAAGGGATATTCTCAAGAGGATGCACTTTAATGGTCTTTTTTGTGGCCAGCAGGATGTAAAGGAGGAGCCTTAGTGTAAATGAGACAGGCCTGCAATGTTGCTCAGGAAACCTTATTTTTATTTTTTAAATTAAAGTATCAACTGGTTCCCTTACTCATAAGAGCTCTCCTAATAAGATGCACTTTAAAGGAATTAAAAAGGTGTCCTTGCTTTAAGATAGTAGACGGCAGGAATCATGGGTCTGAAATACTTTTTGAATGCTTGAAAACACAGTGAGTTGAGAGGTGGCAGTACGGCTGCTCCAACTGCCTGTGCAGTGCTCCCATTACATCAAATACCCCACTAACCTTACACTACCCTATGTTTCTCCAGAACACTACAACTGTTTGGAAACAGTTACAAGTGTTTGCCCTGAAGGCACCCAGGTGTATGCTGTACTATGCACTGAGCTAGGAGCTAAGAGAGTGAGACTTCAAAAGGTAACTTGCAAAGAAAACCAATTGAATTCATGCCTTGTTTTTTCCTTATTTTTCCACACAAAAGGGCAGGCTGCATGGGGGTGGGTTGTGGGTGTGTGTGTGGGTGGGTGGAATGGGATAAGACGACAAAATGTGTTTAAGCATTCGAAATTCTACCCCGCTTTCCTATGAATAACTAGAAAAATAGTAGTTGTACTGTATGCCACTGCAGATACCCCTTGAATTGAAAAGAGAAGATTTTTTAGAACTTTTTGCTACATATATAACTCATATGTACAAGAGCTGGGAGGAAAGCTTTGAAAGCTCTTTTGTTATAAATCAGTTACTCCTCAAATTAGGAGTTTCCAATCCACATTTTAGGCCCTCTTTGTGACATTTCTAACAAAGAAGTAAAAGGCCACAGACACAAGAGCTGGACAAGTTTAATTTATGGCATGGATTTAAATTAATCTAATTAAACCAGGGCAAACCCATTCACAGAAAATTTCTGTGCAACAGTGGTTTGTTTCAAGTACAGGCAACCCCCACTTAGCACTCCTAATGCTTGGTTTTTCAGGAGCCAGTTAAGTGAAATGAGCATTAAATGAAACCGAAAGTATTTGACAACCCAAGATGGTGACCCCCATTGTTTTTATGACCCAGAATGGTGACCGTGAGCCTTATAACAAAACTCACCAAGCGCTAAGTGAAATCAGGTATCAATTTCAAATGAGGGCTACAGGGAAATAGCGCTAAGTGAAACAGAGTTAAGCGGAGGCTGCCTGTAAGCTCAAGCAATTTTAAGTGATTTGTGGCTGTGACAGTCCAGGAAACGTGTGAGAGGCAAGAGTTTTTTATTGGATCAACTGAATTGTCTGGGATGGGTTTAGACAAATAAACTCTTGCCAATTAAGCTTAAACTCCTTCCTAACAGGCTGAAGCCAGTGTTCCCAGATTTTTTTTGGACCAATGGGCCATGGTCAACCATCAACATTTCACAGACCAACTCATACGTTCAGCGTCAAGCTTTTCACTGAGCACATTAATAGGTGTTTGGGGTCCAGTGTGACCTGTGGAGCGGGGATAGATCACTTACTGTACCCTGGTAGGTCACAATTTGGGAATCACTGGTTTATGCTAAACTTGAGTTTTTATTTCAATTAAATCTCCCATACTTTTCCTTGCAAAGACAGCTTTGCAAAATATTAAATAGAATAAAAGGCCTGGACTAAAAGGAACAAGGTGCTAAACTAGAGGCAATCCTCCACATAGTCCTTTGTCTCAAGGAACTCTCTAAGGATATGGATGTTCAAACAATTTTCTGTGGGGCTAAAGGGGACAGGGATTTGCTACACATCAGCTGTTCCATGGTTACTGTCCAAATGCATGCTTCTAACCCACAGTAAGCAAAAGCAAAGCTATAATAACTGATTCCTCTTCAATAAATGGTAAGTGGAACCTTAACCAAAGCAGGTTAGCTCTCAAGAATAGCATAGATGGAGTAACAAACAGACCAGTGGGGCCTGTGCCCAGGGGCCCTGCTTGTGGCTCACTTCTCAGTGGCAGGGAAGCAAAGGTCACGTTTTAAACTTGACGTTGGTTTTGTCTCTGTACTGGTAGGCAGCGAGTGGAAGAGCCACCAGGGCCACTCAGCTGTGGAGACAAAAATGGTGCCAGCATTAAAACCACAGCTTTCACTTCCCTGCCAATGAGGACTGAGCTGCAAGCATGGCCTCTCCACCAATCAGCAATGGGGGGGAGGCTAGGGGAAAACTGCAAGATTAAAAAGGTGCTGCTGTGCATGTGGCCAGGAGCACAGCAGGGTAGCCTAGCCAGCTCCCTGCAGGTCAGTCTAATGGGGGAAGGGGCATGGGGCAGACAGATTGAGGCCCTCACAGTGAGGGAGTCAGTGGGGCAGGGAGAGGAAGAGCTGCCCAGACAGGGCAATTAGTGGGATCCAGGGCTGAGGCGGGGAGCAAGACAGAGCTACAGATGGCTCACCCAGGGGGCGTGAGGCAGGGTGGTTCCTCACTGCTGGGTGCACCCCCCCAGAGGAGACATGGGGTGCATGTGTCCTCCCAGATGTGTGCAGGGTAGATGCAGGCTGATTGTTGTGGGCTTGGGGCTCTCCACCCTGCTGCCTTTCCCTTGGGAGCCTTGTGCTAGTTGTGTGGTCCCTGCCCATCTGGCAGCAGTGGGGGTGGCGAGTTGTGCCTCCTGTTGCCAGGCAGGCAGGGGACACATGGCTGGCACAGGGCTCCTGGGGCAACGGCAGCAGAGCAGGGAGCCCCAAGCCCACAGCAGGCAGCCTACATCCACGCTTGCCCCCACTCGGTTTCACTCTAGTTAAAAGCATCCCCAACACTTAAAAATGGTAGCAGCAGCACTTGAACTAAAGCTCATTCAACAAGCTTTAGTTTAAGTGCCTGTATACTATCAATATTAACCAAGAAAGTCTTTATTGGTGCACCCTTAATAACTTCAAATGAGAATTAGTCTCCCTATGGGAAGGGACTCTCTGAAAAAGCTGCCAAGTCCAGTCAAATGAACACACTGCAAATCCAAGTCTGTAATATCCACCAACTCCCAAGCACTTGATTTCACTTCAAGGACTAGTTTGACTTCAGTAAGAATTGAGGATACTCAGCACCTTACACAGAACTGATTGAACTCTGCAGGTTCAGGCCTGACATCAACATGTTGAAGTACTAATGGGGAAATTATTTATGAAATCATTGTACTTGGGCTTAAGTGCATTCAAGGGAACCATGTTTTAATTTTATTTAATCCAATGACTGAAAAACAAATATTTTACCTTTCAGAACATCCTGAATCAACACTGCTACCTCTGGAAACTAATACTGCAAATACTAAATGTACTCAAACGATTATACTAACAATACATGAAAAACTGGTTAATTCCATCTGGGCGGCATGGGGAAGGGGGCTCCCTGATGCTGCATGCACCCCCCGAGGGAGGCATGGGGGGCATGTGCCCTCCCATATTTGTGCCCAGGGTGAGGGTGAACTGCCTGCTGTGGGCTCGGGGCCAGGGGACACACCAGCCTCTTCCCAGCAGGGGGGGCCGGGCCAGGGCTGAGTGTGGGGTAGACAGTGATGGCACTGGGAATGGTGGCTACGCGAGGGCTGGGTAGGGATAATTTTGGGGTGGCCACAGCCCCCCAAGCCTCCCCACAGCCCCTGCTTGGGGCACTATACTCTGCTGCCTTTCCCTAAGGAGCCTTGAGCCAGCCACATATCCCTTGCCTGCCCCACCAGGGGGAGCTCCCAAGGGAAAGGCGGCAGAGCAGTGCCCCGAGCAGGGGCAGTGCTGGGAGAGAGTGGGGGCTTGGGGAGCTGTTGCCACTCCAGTATTCCCTGTAGCCCCCCCCACAGAGTCACTGTTCCCAGCCCTGCCCCCCTGCTGGGAAGAGGCAAGCACAGCCCCTGGCTCCAAGCCCACAGCAGGCAGCCCACCTTTACCCACACACAAATCTGGGAAGGCACATGCTCCCCATGCCTCCCTCAGGGGTGTGCACAGCAGCAGGGAGCCACTTGCCTTCCCTGCACATCCGAGACAAGCCGCCCACAGCTGCAACCTGCCCCAGGGTCACATTCACTGCCCTGGGTGGGCAGTGCCTGCCTGCCTGCACCCCACTCTCTCCCTCACTGTGGGGGCCTCAATCCACACCCCCCATGCCCCTTCCCCCCACAAGTTTACCGGTAGAGCACTGCTCTCCAAGCTGCCCAACTGCATTCCCAGCTGCATGTATGGTGGTTATGCGCATGCACACAGCATTTATTGGTGACATTATTGGCTACGTTGGCCAAAAAAAAAAAAGCCGACAGCCAATAATGTTAATTTCCCTTTTACTGGTGCCAATCCAACGTGCCTCCAATTTTGTGTTTGCCCAGGGCCTCAATAACTCTTAATTTGCCTCTGATTAGGATACATTATTGTAGTTTCACCATCATGAGGTAAGAAGCATGCTGAGGCAATTATAACTGAGCAGTGACGTTCCAATCCTTTTACTGCTGTTTTTATGTCCATACCCTGAGACTGTAATGATATTCCCCAGGAATTAAAACTTCCTGCAAGCCTTGCCACCTTCCTTCCAAAGTGCAGGGAGCCACCCTCTGACCTTGGTTTCTTAGAACAGAAACATGGGGCAATGTATTAAAAAAAGAAAAAGAAGAACCAGGACCATAAGCTGACAAAAACAAAACAATGCATCAGGTACCTTCTAGATCTCTGGAGAAGAGGACAAGAGAGGGCAAACCGCTTGTAATGAGATTAGTTACATTAGCTAACTGTGACAGGAGTATCTCTACTAGAGTCCTTCTATTGGTGACTCCACCCTCCTGTTATGGGCCAACCACCTGCTTACTTGCCTGCCATGCCTTGATCTTAATTGATTAATTAATTGTTGTAGTTAGCAGGAAACTTCCCACTTTATTTGCCCCAGTGCCAGGGGGCGCTATCTGCAGCTCCTTTTCCTCCCCTACACTGCAGCCCAAGCCTTGCAGATGGTACTGACATGGTTTTGACCTGGATCTTGCTGTAATTTGGCCCTCTCCCCAACTTCCCTGGGCTTCTCACCACCCCCTCACTCTGGGGGCTGGGGCCAGTGCACCCAAAATGCCGTGCCCTCTCTGGTGCCAGGGTCCCCACACTACCATGGAGCCCCTATGAGGCCTCCTCCAACCCCTAATAGCCTCACCCAGTCCTCTGGTATTATAAACCTACAAAACAAAAAAACCTCAAGCCCCTGGGCTATAATAAAAAATCTAAGTTGTCTGGCTAACCATCATTTAGATCCCCACCAGGGAATTCTCTACCCCGTATCCGCAAACAGAAGCTGCTCATGCCATCAGGCTTCTCTACTCTGCTGGCTCCAGCAGAGCTCCTTCTCCCTTAGCTACTAGCAGAGAACTACTCTTCTGGCCTCACTCCTGGGGTTTATATATGCCAGGCCCTGCCCCTTCCTGTCAGCTGACTCCCCAGCAGTTCCCCTAGCAACCCACACCTGTGCCTCTGCTCTGACAGTAGCAGGCACCTTAGTGTCCTGCTACACTAGCGCACAGCAGCATGCACTTATACAGTAAACACTATAAAAAAACTGAACAGAACAGGCATTACCAGAATGGACAGGACCCTAATTTTTTTCCTGCAGTAGTGGAGGAACAAGTAGTTTCATAAGATCGTCCAGAAACCATAAATGTGCTACAAACAACTCTGCTTGCTGATGTTAAGCAGTGTGTGACGGAGGCAGCTGCATGCTGTTATCTTTAGTGTCAGCTGTTACCAAGTGCACTTCCTGTGTCCAGTGTCCCTCAAGAACATACAATGGCTTCCTGAGCCTATTTCCCCAGCAGGCAGTTGGTGATAACAGGAAATTTATCTTCCTCTAACTGGAAGTTGCACAGAACTTCTAAAAAATCCACTTATACTACTGTGTGGCCCACTAGGTGTGAGATATACCAAAGGATAAAGAGCATAGCTTCTTTGGATGCTCCTGTTAAGAGGCATCACTCAAAAAGTAGCCATCTGTTTGAACAGGGTTAACTGGTAACCCAAGTTGGATGACTAACTTTGTAGAGAGATGTTTCTTCAGGTATTGACTGACTGCCTTTGACAAAGCCACAGGCAGTGAATTTAGCTAAGTTTCTTTGTTGGCGTGGGATTCTCCACACATAAGCAAGAAAGAAAAATAGCTTAAATGTCAGAAGGAAGCATAAAAAAGGGCGTGAGTAGGTCCAGTGACCCACCTAATCTACCATACCTTTTGTAAACACACTAGCTCCCCAGTAAGGGGACACCATCTGTTCCCTAAAACCTTTTGAATTCTACTTGTTTGGGGGTGAGGGGTAAAAAAACCCAACCAAAACACACATTTCCCTTGCAAATAGAATCATAATGAAGTCAGAATGGAAGGGACCTCCAGAGGTCATCTACTCCAACCCGTTGCCTGAAGCAGGACCATCCCCATCCAAACCATCCCATACACCCATAATCTAAATTCTGCATAAGACTACCTGCAACCCCAGACACAAAGTACATTGGAGTGACTGTACCCTGTGTTTTGTGAAAGAAGACTTTAAGATACACAACCTTCACCTAAGAGATATGGTACACACTATCAAATACTCTTGTGATATGATCTTATAACTTCTGCCAAGTTGTCCTACGTCCGGATAGCTCATTTAGGTGAACCAGCCCTGAACTGCTGGCAGGTGTACAACTGGCGTTCTATTTGAGCAACACAAATTGCTTTCAGCAAGATAAAGTACTGTATGGACATCGACTATGCATTGAACACAACAGATGGCATTAAAATAAAGTCATGCATGAGAATAAAGTGCATTTCCAAAAACAGTCAAAGCTAACTGATAACAAAAACAGTCAAAAAGTAACTGAATATGAAAACAGTATAAAGATATGGATCCACCCATCAAGGTCTAGTCTGGGGAGCTAAGACCTGAGGAACTGCATTTGATGGCATAGGGAAATTGCTGGGGGGGGAGGCAGGTGGGCTGCATCTACAGCAGTGCTTCTCAGTCTGTCTGAGATTTGAAGCACCCCTCCTTCAACTCCAGACACCCCTCCCCAGCTGTCACTGGGGGGGGGGGGGGGAACACGACA